CATTTGGGTGCACCCAGCCATGGGTGTGATCAATTTTCAGAGTACAGTATGCAGGAAACCACTAGTCTACATAACTTAATTTAAAATAAAATCAAAATGATTAAGTAATAAAGCTCTGATATATAGGAGCAAAAATCAGTAATTCGTTAACATACCAGAGTCTGGGTCAAATTACCTTTTAACACAAGTGGGAAGTACTTTAGAATCAATTGATGCTTAGTGGCTCCTAATTACTTTGTAAAAAGCAGAATGTGTGTCTTAATACACAAAGTGTTAAGCAGATTTTTTCAACTCACATCTCAGAGCATTAAGTTACATGTATGTAAAAACACCAAACATGCAAAAAATATTTTTGGCTTGTTTCATGTGGGACTGAAGTTCTCCCTTCCAAATTAATGCTAAAGCAAATGCTTCCTGGAAACCAGAAACCAAGTTTTGACAAATGATAATTTAAGAAAGGCCCAAATCAAGCCATAGGTATGCGCATGCTTTAATTATAGTCAGGTAACAGTAATCGAAGGCTGCCTGTAGCATTTTATACAAAAAATAATGCTATTACATTGGTGTGCAGGTACTTGAATACCTCATCTTGCTACTGTGTATGCAAAGAGATGCGATACTGAACTAACTTCTAGCTTTTCGCATATGAGAAGACACGTGCATTCACTAGCCCACAGGTCAACAAAAAATTTAGATTTATAAAGTCCATGTGGTAGGTTTAGTATTTAATTTTTTCCTTTAACTTTCAATATACTGTTGAAGGAAACCCAGTCTCTGAGGTAAGAAGGCTACAGTGCACTTCAGTTGGTCTTCCAGTTTGAAAAAACGGAAAACTAAGACTAGCACAAAAATATAAAATTTCGTTTGAACTTTTTAAGTATTAGACTGAAATGCAAAAAACAACAGTACGTGCGCTGCAGGCAACTGGTGACTCTAGGGAAATTGCAAAGCCAGAGCTCAGCTAATTAAGAGCTAACAGCCCTTAAAATGGCAATGTAACACTAAACTGGAGTTTGCCTAAAATAATAGGAGTAAAACTTGAATCTTTAAGTGGTAAGAAAACTGCAGAAGCTGTGTCTGGTGTATGAGTAAAACTGAATGGAAATGACTCCTTGTTAAATATAAGCATCACCTGATCCTTTCATCTTATTTTTTCCTGTGTAATAATGGATTTTCATTTCAAACTCATTTAACTTGAACAACCTTGTCACACCTACTGAAGTAATTCAAGCATTTTCATCACTAGTTAGAAGCAGATGTAAACTGTTCATCTTCAGAGATCTTCCCACTGATGAGAAACTATTTGCAACGGTTCAGCCTCTGCAGTGGTTCACGCTTTTGAATTATTCTTGTCTGACTAGAGAGCACTCTATAATCTTTCAGCAGAATGATATTTGGAAGCAATTTGATTACTCCATGACTTTCCACTGCTGTAACTCCATGTGCAAACTATTTTTTAGAGAAGTACAGCATTATAACTGAATCGGCCACCTTCTCTGATTAGATGGAGTTGTTAAAACCAAAGTAAAAGCTAGCTCAGGCATTTAATCAACCTATGTAAGTTTCTCTTAAGTACAATGCCTGCTACTTGCCTCTCGCAAGACTTCTTAACAAAATGTTTACCGCTCTTGCTTAAACTGCATGTAGTCCAGACACGTTCTTTGTTCCTCTTTGGTTTTAAACTCGCAGCTAGGCAGTAGGATGCCAGATCTCCATGGGATTTTCTAGCAAAAGAGCTTTAAGAGAAATCTTAGGGAAAAGCATTTTAGCTTTTGTAGAGAAGTAAAAATTGATAGACTGAGAAGGAAATATACTACTCTGATGAATTTCAGATTATGTGAAATGTGCCATAACTTTACCTACATTAGGGAAATTATATGAGGAGATTAAAACTAAAACCTTCAACTAAAAAAGGCTGCAGTAAATTATGAACACTCTGGAACTACTTGTGTTATAGAAGTATGCTGAACAGGAAAGACACATTAAAACTGAATGTGATTTTGAGGATTTAATTCTAATTTTACATTGAACATCTCTGAAGAGGGTTAAGGATTAATTTCAGTATATCCTGATAGACATGAAGTCAATTTAAGGCATGACTGCAGTAAAGCTGTGAGCAAAAATCTAGTATATTAAGCAACACATATCAAGAAAACAAAAATAGGCTTGTTTTGTGCTTAAAGACAGAGGTCCTCCATTTCCCATGTATCTTCACTGGTTTCCAGAGACTGGCTTCAGACCTTCAAATTAGAAATATAATAAGCTTTTAAATCTCCAATTTGCCTGTGGTACTTCTGTCTTCATGCCTGTTTTATGTTAAATTTCGCTAAAGTCCTTTAGGTTGCGAGTCAGTCTTTGGAGAGAAGAGAAAGAAGAAATCTGGATTTTCTTGCTAAGAAATAGCACATATTCCAAATAATCCACCTCTATAAGAAAAAGCTCCCAAGTGGTGGTGGAGAACAGACACAGATCCTCTGATGTGTGATTCAGAATTTCAGTGACAGCTGTCTCAAAGGAACAGGGCAAGTTATGGACCCTTTCCTGGCTGCATAAACTTAATGCACGTGGTACAGCTGTTACCCTGCCAAGATCTGTGCTGTTCTACATGCACTAAAAAACCCATCTAAATTAGTTATCCCTGCAACAGGCTCCTTCAGCCTCTGACCTCAGGAGTTGCTCACAACCACAGGAAATTATCCCTGCTTCTGTAACTGAGAAGGTGAACATTGGCCGGACCACACTGATTTTTCCAGCGACATTGCTCATAGGTCAGTTGAAGGTTGTCTCACAGATACATCTCTTCCAGCAGAGTTCCGTGATGTGCTACAGACCCGTTCTACAGAGTCCAAAGGAAGGCCGCTAGAGAGGCAGCTTTCTGGGAGAGGCTGCAGACTGGACACATCATCTGCATCAGTTATCAGCCAGGAAACAGCAGGCATCAGGTAAATGGGTACTGGGTAGTTTTTTCCCTGCCACAGGCAGGTCCTACCACCTGTCTAAATTCTGCCCCAGAATTTGTGACATAGTTACATTTTTCTGAACTGCTTTTGTACTTCTTATTTTTAGCCTCTCTGCTTTTTATTGTGTAGCTTTAAAAAACCTCAGCTGCTGCCTTTTCATCGTGTAGATAATAAGAATACTGATTTTGTATCAAATTGATTTCTTTTGAAGAATCCCGTTTCAAGTTCTTCAAAACCATTTCTGCTTGTTTCTGTCTCCTTATAGGATGAAAGTACAGTATGACTAACATTGTCCTGAAACATTTTTTGGAACCTCAGTTTACATCTCAAGAAGCAGCAGATTGATGGCCCATTACTTCTCACTCTGCTCTGTGTTCTGTTTCAGTGGCTTCATTAGAAGGTGGCAACAGCTGAAAACAAAGTTTTAATTCAGTCATGTATGCTGCATGCTCAAACACCTGACTTTGTAGCACATGACGGAAATGATCACAAGGTCAGGTTACCTTACTTTCAGCAATCTTTGGTCCTTGATATAAAACAAAAACACAAGGAACACAATGCTGTCTTCAGAAATTATGATTCAGGGGGCAGAGAGGGTTCTAATCTGGAGAGCGTATTAGAAAATGGGCCACTAAGTTTAAACATTTAATGTGACCTTAACTGTTTCAAGAAAATTACATTTCAGGGGATGGGACATGTCAGAGCTAAATTCAGTAAGGTGGGTTTTGTCTTAGTACAACAGCATAACAACTTGAAGATTATCCACATGAACTAAGAACTATACTAAAGACAGTTCAAGAAATGTCCCATTTTCTCTTCTAGAAAACAGGTAGTAAGCACTTGATTTTTGATGGTGCAGACAGAAAATTTACTGATTTAGTCTGAAAAAGCCTCAAATAAATCAGAACAATTTTTATCCCCTTCTAACTGGAACACAGATGATTTTCAATAGGAACATGCACACATAATTCAACCAGAAGCACACGACAGAATATCCTTCAATGTGCAGTTAGGTGACACCATGAGCTTGACAACTTTCAGTGTGATGATCTTCTTAAAAAAATGTTTTTCTTATTGTTACAAACCTGAATGCACCTGTCCTTGGAAAGAGTCTTAAGTTTATCCAAGACCCTGAAGTGACACACACAATGGAATAAAGTAAGAGGAGTAAGTAGGTTTGCATAACTAATAAGACATCGTATCATCTTACTCTAGCTGTAATTCATTCTAGCTACATGACTTCTGCTTTTTTTTTTTTAAATCAAAACTTAACCGCTAGACTTAGGCAAAAAGCAATTTATTGCCTGAAAGTTTTCACAGCAATTTGTATTTCACAAGATGAAAAGACAGTTGCATGAGGAAAAACAAAGTTGTGGGGAAAAAAAAGTAATTTTGGTCCTAGAAACAAATTACAGCACTAGCTAGCTGCCTTGTGATGTCAATGTGCCTCCTTCAGGACACTCCAGAACAGACTTCATATGCAACCTTTGGGCCCAATTTGTGCTTCTGTTACCATTTTTCCCTTGCAGCACCTAGGTCTGTGCAGAAGAACACAGTATCTTCCAGCAGCAGCTAATTCCACAGACGTGAGCACACCATTGAATTTCAGAATGAAATGCTGCAGTTAACTTGTAGGATGTTAAATCCATAGCAGCAGAAGACATCACATTAAGCTATTTACGAACACAAACTCTTCCTCCAAAGCTTGATAGAGAAAACAGTGACTTGGGAAGAGCCATTCCCTCCACGTCCCATGACACTGAAGAATTTTAACCGTGTGAGCTTCATTTATGCAGGAATGCATCTCATGTAACAGACACATGAACTTTCTTGCTTACTGAGCATCTTATTACAGGTTCTTTTTTGCTTGCACTGTGAAATTGCATATTAATCAAGAGCATGCAGCGCAACATGTAGCTGGACTGTGATAGAAGTCTGAGCTAGTAAAAATACCTGGCTTATAAACATGAAGCGGGACAGTCTCTGTCTATTATGAAGTCACATTCAACAATTATTCTAATGAAAGCTACAGAGAAAAACTTGGTGGCTTTGGTTTTTATTTCCTCCCCTTTAGGATCTTCAAGTTCACACAATATAAAATGTCACAGTTCAACTGACCACAGTATTTCATAGGGCTAAAACATTTGTTCTATAGTTTTAACACTTGAATAGTTTAGAATTATATCTCCAGATGACTATTTGTGCAATGCCTCCATCTTACACTGCTCCGGTCAACCAATCATCGAGTTCCTTGGTAAGTGCTCGTTTAACAAGCTTTACCTGTATCTTGTTCTTTCTAGGATAATAAAAATACAAAAATCTGGTTCAATATATTTTTTAAAAGTGGGATGTTAGAGTGCTCTACACTTCTTTTAATCTCTAAAATACTTAGTGTGATTTTCATTTATCCCCAATCTTTCACAAGAGCTTTTAGTTTATCCCCAGTCTTTCACGAGAGCTTTTCATTTATCCCCAATCTTCCATAAGAGCTTTTTTTTTTCCCTTTTTCTTTTTTTTTTTTCCCAAAGTATCACAGACTGCTGTTGGACTGAATCTGTCGAAGTTGATAATAGGGAAGTTAGCAACAAAAATTGAAAATGAGATTACAAGTCAAATACTTGTAACATTTTCTTACCATCACAGTAAGGAAGTATCCCTCAGTAGGGTATAATATTTGACTGCAGCTATTTGAGCAATCTGAAGGAAGTACTTATTTCTTAACTCTGCAGGGAAGCTTGAAAATGGCTCAATTTATTTTGTAGTTCTCTTTAATTCACAGGAAGAAGCAATACATTTTTAAAATGTTTATTCAGCTTCAGATATCTCTTCTAAAGATACCTGCGGTATATTCGATACACATCTTCCCTCATTCCTTCAAATATGCTAAGCTTTGAGGTAATTTAGGACAAAATATAAGAACAGTTAAAAAATAAAAGCAAGAGATCAGTAAAAAAAACTTTAGGCAGGATAAAAAGAAAAATATTGTGTCTTCCTTTCACTATGAATCGTTTCAGCGTAAGGTACTTCAAAAAGCAAAGTAATCAAGTCACGAAGTCCAAAATTAAGTGTATTTCTCAAGCAAAACTGATTTAAGCAAGCATTTTGCCTGAGTTTACATTTCAGGGATTGGGCCCATAGCAATAGAGAAGACAAAGCATCCAGGGGCAGACTGTCCCATGTCATTCTACCCCTTACTTAAAGGAGCACAGGAAGCAATGGGGTGGTGGAATGGGGATATTTTACAAAAAAAAAATAAAATAAAAAAAAAAAAAAATCAAACCTTGTCTTGCTGGCTCCATGTGGGCAAAAGATAGTCAGTCTCTACCACAGCATCTCCATTCATGCCTGTCAGCCAGCACTGATTCTGCCAGCATTATCTAATCTGCACAAAGGAACCTATATCCACGGAGATTTTGGGAAATGTTAGCAATGGTGTCCTGCTGTCCCAGTGGGACCTTTCAGTTGGAGGAGCATATTCCAGAGATGCAAGGCACTTGCTGGGAAGGCTTGAGATGAAACCTGTGAGTTTAGAAGATGGTCCTCTGCCCATTCAATGATAAGGGTATGTCACACTTCCTCTGTGAGATAATTCCAAAGGAAGTCTGATTTAATGTGGCATCTTCTGGCACACATGAAGATTATTCCTTTGGAAAGCATGATTTCACCCTCTCATTTATATGCTATATTGGAAGACTGCAATATTCTAAGAAAGATATTTTTACAGTTGTAAAGACATGTTTTGGGAATGACATAGGCAACGCAAGTTATAGTTCTTCAGGCTGAATGAAAAAAGCTAATCGGAGTCTTCATCGTCGAGGTATTCCTCTGCATTACTTAATGTTCGGACTGTACCTGGAAAGAAAAAAAGGTCTCTCTTAATCCAGGATAAAATCAGAAAAAGCCTCTCATTTGCAATGTTTGCAAAGCAGCTTTTGAGCAACCTGATTCCTCTATTATTTAGAGATGTGTGGGCCCCACAGATGGGAGTTGTAGATCTGGATCTCGAAGGGAGGGCTAAACCAGTAATAACATCTCCTACATACGAGATTTAGTCTGTTCATGAACCTCAAGAGCAACCTTCTGGCTCCCTGGAACCTGCACAGCAGAGCCAGAACTCTTTAATTCTATTTTCTGTACATATTACCTTTAAATTGTAAAGGAAAGGTTGGGTGAGTTGGTGGAAGAGCCTCTGTGGTTTTATATGGAGCGCCTAGCTGGCTGCCATTCTCTGCTTAAAATCACACACATTGCATCTTTTCTCTCCCCTCCCTCTTTTCTCACCTAGCTTTTTTCCTGAATAAATATTTCTCAGATCTACTTAAGAGCTTTTGCTTTTGAAGAATAGTAAGCAGAAAACAAGAGTATTAAAGTATATTCACCAGATGTGCAGCAGTGCCTGGAGAACTACATTACCTTTGTGACTGTACAAAGTTAAACAGCATGGGCTTTTTGTGATGGATGATTATTTGCCTATTTGATTTTCAAACATATGGGAACAGGAATATGGATTATATATAACATATATTATACTGTACTACTGAGAGCCAGGAACCACAAGATCCTAGTCAGTCATTGTTTTTCAATAACTTATTAAAGTATTAAAAATATCAGGTTCAGACATAACAAGACAGATGTAATTTGCAGAAGTGATAACCATCTTATCCTAGACTTCTGGAAGAAGAAAAATGAGTACATTTAAAACTGACCTGATCAACTGTTTTGATAAAAGAAATATAAGAGAAAAAAATAGGTGTTTCTTCCTTTTTGTGTAGGAGAAGCAGCAAAGGAAGAAAGGAAAGAAAATAAGGAAATTGTAGAGCCCTGTGCTCAGGGGGCCATACTTCAAGAAAGGACAAATCCCATTTATTCTGTATAGAAATTGTTCCTTGTTCAGAAGCACAAATGGCACAACCTTTTTGGATTTCTGTGAGAGGACTTTAATAACTTTAATTTCTTAGAGTATACTTCAGCAATCATGATATTTTAATGTGCGTGTATACAAGTAAAATACAAAACTGAACATTTAAGTGGAGGCAAAGTAAGCTTCCTTGGATAAAACAAAATCATTTATAGACAGATTATGATAGAAGCCATACCCAAAATAGGAACAGATTTGTAACTGAGGACAGGAACACTGTTGATATAGGACTGAACCTCTGAAAAACAACAATCGTTTCACTCACAGACACAGGAAATACTGAAATGTAGAATCAACAGACAGAGAAGAATGAAATGAATAAAAATAACCAAGAAAATACAAAATACAAGAAAAGTATATAGATCAGTGGTGTCACAGAGATCATAAAAGGCCAAATTAAGACGGAAAAACAAGGAAGCTAATACTGAAATTGCAGTCAGACTGAGAACATCATCTCTTATATCAAGACAAACAAGAAGAGGTAGTGTGCAAGAGTACCAGAAACTCATGATAGATGAAGTAACTAAGGACGAAAAATCAGTCTCTCATGAAACAAAATTAATTTAGAGGGAGTGAAGCAAATGCACCAGAAGTAGAAGATAAGTTAGCTAGTATCAGAAAATGAAACATTAATACAATTATTAGGGACCTTAGAGCAGAAAATACACCTGTAACAACTGACAGGCAAAGATGAAATAAGTACTCCTAACAGGGATCAACTAACACTAGAAAAAAGTATGGAAACAGAAGAACTTCTGCCCTTTGTTAAAACTGCTTTCTTCAGAGCCAAAGCTAACAGAAATAATTTGTCAAGGTTTTCTGGGAAATTCTGAAATTACCTTTATCAAAACGCAGGACAGTATTTTTGCCGCAACTGCTCTTCTTGGCCTTCCAAAAGCTGCAGACAGCTATTCCACCATTTAATTCCCACAGCTGCTAACCACCCACATGTTAACATTCCCTCTGTTCTCACCAGCCCTGCGACAATGCAGTTGCTACACCACATATCCAACTGATACAAGCTGTGACTCTGCCTGTGTTTTTAAGTAATTTCTCATTTCCTGTGTAATTCACCTAGGGTTTCCACTCTAACTTCAGCCCCCTGAAAGCTACAGGTAACATTAATTATGCAATACTGAACAACTCAGTCTTTGCTCAGTGTTTTGAAATAGCCTTGTATCTCTAACTCCTTTGTACATGGACACTGCTATTTGGGAGACAATGAGCCTATTCTGATAAATACCTGAAAGCATTCTTTCTTCTCTATTAGAGTCACTCAGAAAGATAGAGGAATACAAAATTTAAAAAAAATAGCAGTAAGAAAACAAAAGAGGAGCATCTGTTGGTGTTTGGCTTAGTTTGGAAGAACAAAACAGGCATTAAGGGGGAACATATCACATTGTTTCACTCTCATACCCTGTCCCTTGTGGTATACTGTTTCTTTCCTTGTTTTCTTTCTGTTTCTCCACTCTAAAGGTTCTGTCTTCCATTTCCTTCCCTTCCCTTACTGTTTCCACATTGTCTGAACTTTTTTGCCTCTTGCTGACACAAGATGGCATTTTGTGTCGAGTCAGCAACAGTGAATGTGATAAACCACAGGCCTCTATCATAGCTCTGCTGAATTAATACTCTCAAGTGAGCCCTTCCAAACACAACTCTTAGCCCATGTAGCTCCCAAGTGGTTTTTTTGGCTATTCACATATTGGTATTTGATCAAAATATTGTGTCTCCTTAAAAAGGAAATATGTATCAGAGTAATAAAATCATAAATACCTGCACTCTGTTTCTTCTTAAGCAGGGAAGCACAAGCTGCATTGGTTGCCATGTCTAAAGCCAGTTTCTTCTCATTGTTCTTCAGATCTGTTCTTGCCCCTTTATAATAGAAAATTTTCACAATGAATCATTGTCCCAGCTATTTCTTGAGCAATGGTATTATTATATGAGTTTCCATAACATGGATAGAACACTAGTGGACAAGGGAATCTCATCTGTGGACTGCTCTGAAGCCAACTAAAAGCTATGGATGCTCCTCCCCAAGCTACAGTTGGCTAGGGAACTTGCAGGCTGCTCTCTTTTTCCAGGAAGCAGATGTCATTGCTGTTCTGGGGTTAAGTGCCTAATTTTGTCTGCAAAGCATGATGAAATTTATCTTGAGCAGGTGAGATGTCTACTTCCCCAATAGCTGCCAGAATTTTCTGCAAGGCTTATAAAGTCAGGCAGGTAAGCTGGCTAAGGGCTGTATCCGGGTTACAGGAAAACACTTGAAAAAATACAGATTAATGAACATTCAGGAATCTGGTCTGCCACACAGATTATTGAAACCTTGGTGAAGATCTTTACCCTTTGCCAGCAGCATCTCTACAATATCTGCATAACCTTTCCATGCAGCAGCATGCAAAGCTGTGTCTCCCAATTTGTTCTGTGGAGTTAGAGGGAAAAGCAACAGGGTTAAAACACTGCAAAAAAACCTTTCAGCTTGTACCAAGAATAAATAGCATCACACCTCTATTGTAAGGGTCTGTTGGTTTAACCTACCTGTTGGTTTAACTCTAGGTTTGCCTGGGTAAACAGAACATCCACTATATCTGCAGAAAATAGGGGGAGGTGTGGGTGACAGGAAATAAAGACAAAAATTTAGTGGAAATTAAATAGGCTTTTTCGCATTCATACTATAAATTTTGGTTAAGATTCAACGAAAGAGCAATCCAATCAGCTAATTAAAATCTGTAACAGCCAGACTGCATTGAGCTAACAGCCATTAGTCACAAAGAAATGCTACTGCATAAAATACCCAAAACAATACACTTCTTTTTGGTCTGTCCTTCTTCCCACTCTGCTTCTAACAGTTATACTGATTAGAATGCCTGCTTCAACAGCAACAAAAAAACACACAGCATTTGATGGAGCTGAACCTCCCTTCTAGCTTTAACTTTTTTGTTCTGGTTTGAGCCCAGAGAGCAACTAAACACCACCCAGCCACTCACTCACCCCTTTCCCTCTCAGCAGTGGGAAGGAGAAAAATGAGGCAGAAATGGCTCCAGAATCCAGCTACAGGAAGGGAGAAGTAGCTCACCCATTATGCTCATGGCAAAAGACAGACTCATTAGGGGGGAAAAAAGAACCATCTCTTTAATTCAAACCCTAACAAAGGTAACACTTAACAGATAAGGTGGAACAGTCAGAAGTGCCACCACATCTAAAAAAAACTTCCTCCCACCTCTCCCTTCTTCCCAGGCTCAGCTCTGCTCCCGATGTCTCCACCTCCTCCCCAGCAGTGCAGGAGGCAGGGGATGGGGGTTACAGCCAGCTCACTTCTCCTTCCTGCTCGGGACAGGACAGGAGTGCCACACAGTCCTCTCGTGCTCCACGTGGCTCCCCTCTCACGGGAGACAGTCCTCCATGAATCTTCTCCAGTGAGTCCTCCCCGTGGGGTGCAACTGCTCCCATGCTGATCTGGTGTGGGTCCCCACTGCGTGTCCCCACTGCATGTTGCAGCCCTCCCAGTGCTGAACTACAACAGTGGGGGCCGCTTCTCCCATCAGAGTCCCAGCTTCCTTTAAGCACAGTCGCCTGCCCTGGTGTGGGTTCCTCCACAGGCTTCAGGTTAGCCCCCGCTTCACTGCAGAACTCCGTGGGTCACAGCGGGGCCGCCCTGCTGTCTCACCACGGGATCCTGGGGGTCTCTGCTCCAGCACACCTCCCCCACATCCTTCTCCTTCCTTCCACTGACCTGGGTGTTCGTCCTTCTTGTAACTTTTCCTCACAAGTCCCAACCCCCCTCTCAGATTCCCCGTCTTAAATTTTCTATTGCAAAGGCGCAGCCACCGTTGCTGACTGGCTTGTCCCTGGCCAGAGGTGGGTCTGCCTTGGAGCCAGGAGAGCCTTCGAGATGCTTCTCACAGGGGGCCACTGCTGTAGCCCCCCTCCCCACTACCAAAAACACTGCCACAGAAACTCAGCACACTTTTCTCTTAAAAACTAGAATGACATTAAAAAAATCCCAACTTTATTATTTATTACTGCAATTCTAGAAATCAGTCTAACAAGCAAATCAAGAAAACCAGAGAACAGTAATTTCAAATTCTCTGATACCTTTGTGGCCTCCATGGCATGCCCAGTACAGAGCTGTGTTTCCAGCTTTGTCTAAGCCATTGACCCCAACTCGATTATCCAAACACTCTCTCAACCAGCTCAGGTTGCCTGAAAGACAAATTCAGTTTTGATGATTTTTTTTGGTTTGTTTGTTTTGAAAAATTAACAGAACCATTAAAGGCACATAGTTCTTTCTGGAAGGTGTCAGTCCTCCTCTGAATTTATGAGAAGAGTAAATGATTAGCAGCAACACTTATTCATAGAACAACCAATCCAAGTCATACCAAACATCTTTTCTTCCACTCCCAGAAGACATTTAGATCCCTATATAGTTAAATGGATGGTACCAAACTCTTTTTCTGTGTATACAGTCAGAGTGGCAATTCTACCAGGCTGTAAACCAGCTCAGCTTCTGAAAGCTACAAAACTTACCAAGTAACTTGTTTAAGATACCAGACAACCAAAACAGACAGGGCATCTTCATTCTAACTATGTTATTATTTTGACAGAAAACAAACATATCACGCTTTAGCATTGCACAATTAAAACCCAAATCACACTTACCACGTTTGGCAGCTTCATGTAGTGGGTTATCAATAGACTCAGCTTGCTCTGCCACTGAAATGAAACAGAGAATGAATTCTAACTACTTCTGAAACTGATCAGATACTTGACACCTGTGTGGAAATAAAACTTTGATTTATTCTAGAAGAACCAGTAATACATATTCCATTCTAATGTGAAAGGGGATTTGTGAGTGATGGACTAGTCAGATACACTTCAATTTCCTCTGTATGGGAAAATAATTCAGATAAGAGCTTGTGAAAACTTCAAAGAACAGCATCAAACTGATCAGTGGTTGCAAGCCACCAGGAATCTGGCAATATTTCACCTCAATTGTTGCTTCCCTTTCTACACTTATAGGATGGTTTTGAGCAGTTGCATGTGTCTAGGCTTTTAACCTACAGCTTGCCATCTATAGTTATGACTGAACTACTTCCAAGAGGTCTATGAAGAGTAACTAAAAAAATTATTTGTCAGTAGGCTTCCTACTTGTTTTGTGGATACTTTTTATTTTCCCTGAAAAGCTTGCAGGAGGTCTGCAAATCAAAACCGCTTAAACAATGAAAGTAGTGATGGGCAGGCTGAAGTTCAGGCTTCTGTAGACCTTCATCTCTCAAGCTTTAGATTTTACTAGAGAGGTGTGGCAAACCGTTCCTGGTCACTGTGCCATTGCAACAGCTAAAAGAAACTGAACAGCACTGTGAAACAGTTGGAAATGGGACCATGATCCATAAACTCTTTTTAAAAAAATGTCTTTTTTAGGTGGAAACCCCTGTAACTACTAAGGGTACAGGCAAGTAGGACAGTGTATAACCTGAGATGAGCAGGCTCTCCAAGCCCTTGCACTACAGCTTGTTATAGGAGGCAGGAAGAATGTGAAAGGGTGTTCCTCAAACCATTACTGTAATCGGACGCAATGCAGGCAAATATAATGCATGTCAGTTACCAGAAATAAGTCTCAAGACTGGTGTGGCCTATCCAGATCTTTTCTTATTTCGGTGTGTATTCCTCCCATAATGCTTGTAATTGCAGATTTCACATGCTTATCTCTCTAGCTGTGAGTAAAATAAAACACAAATGCTAGATTCTGATATTTCAGTTAAAAAAATCTGTGCAAACAGTCAACAGAATCCTAAAGCAGAGTGGGAGAAGCCAGTCCCAGAGCAGTCAGCAGAACATGCTAGTCATATTGAGCAGTGCTTGCCATGCACAGCAGAAAGCATTAACACTCACACTGTCTCAAAAGCCTAAAAATAACTTTGTCTTTAGAAAATTATTGTCAGAAGCTCAGTAGTAAGTATTTTTAAGGCAGATAACACTAATTCTGTCTTCATCAGCTTTTCCATTCAGACTTTTCAAATGTGTTCCATCAAGCCCAGCAGATGGAGCACAAGACTACACTAGGGACTCAGTAGTTTCAGGTCTGTCTCCACCATTTGCAAGAAGGTTGCAGAAGAGTTTAGGAGATCACAGAGTTTCAATGGTTAAGAATGAACCAAGGTAGTTATAATGGTGGCAGCCAGTGGAAGCAGGCCTTCGGGGATTTTGTACAGTTTGTCTAAATCAGAAGATATGTTCCTAGTACTCGTCACTCTTAGGGTCTGCAGAGGCTTCTGTTCTGCTAGCACATGAAATGTTTGCAAATGTGCAGATGGAGACACCACCACCTCACACCCCTCCTGCCCAGCCTAAAATGGAAGTTAAACTGTTGCTCAGATAACTTTGGAAGAAACTTTTCCAAATTATCACAATGGGAACACAAACTGAATTAGTAATTTGTTGCATTTGTTCTAAATATAACACATTTCAATATTCAAAAGACATGTGAGTGTAGGTAAGCATGTGTAAGCTAGTCTTGTGTTTAACAGTGATCACCTCTGGCAGATGACAAGAGTAGAACCAGTTTGGAAGTCACAAACTGAAGTGAAATTTCATGCCATAGTTTCACTAACTGCACCATATGCTTTTATTAATGTATTTCTACTAACTACAAGTCAGGGCAGAGAATCATAGCATTGCTACCATAATGTCTCCTAGTGAAGAAGGGACAACATAAAGCAACCACAGTTACTAACATATTAGCAGTTCTGACACAATCTGTCATGTGACACTGCTACTCTGCCTACATTTCCTGGGAGGACCTGGAAGAATTGTGCTCTGTTTTCTGTACTCACGGCTTTTCCAAGTGATTTTAGTTGATTCTGAAAAAGCAATTTCTATTCAGTCCAAACAGGTAGGGAATATTTAATGTGGTACAATCCCCAAGAAAATAACGGGTTTTTTTGGCTGAATATAATAATTAAAAAACGACAAATGGCAAAACAGTGCAGTCCTATTTCTTAAGCGGGGGGGGGGAAGGGTAGGAGAATAATCAAAGGAGGTCTGCAGAATTGCTCACAATCTGTTTTAGCATGCTGTCCATATGCAGGTTTACTTAACAATTCCAGTATTGATTATCTATCTCTGTAAGAAGTCACCCCACACTGTGTCAGACTTCTTGATCTCAAAGCTACTAAAAGGCTGGGGCTGTCCATCTTTTGGTCTACTTAAAAAAAGGCAATTTACAGACTGAAGGAATATAGCCAAGATACTGCTTAAAAGAAGATCTCAAAAACTGCAATACGTTCATCACGGGTATCAAGATGACAAGCCTATCAGTTTCACGTGCCATCTGTAAAACCATTCTTTAGATCCAATGTTCTTCCCCTCAAAACTGAGAATGTCTATCACTGTTACTTGCACAACCAGAAATGTGAACATGTGGCAAACTCAAGCTGTCTCTAGGTTATAAAAACATAAGACAGCCTGTCCACTGCTGATGTACAGTGATGACTGATACTGCAGATGTATTCTGAAATAATCTGGTAGAGAACTGTTAAATGCCAACGCCACGATCAGTTTTTGAAAATAAGTATATCAGTTATTTTTATTTAGTGATTTCCTTTGACTGTGAATGATATTATCAAATGAAAATACTCTACACATTACCATAGTTGCTTGGAATTAGTCCAGTTCTCCCTTTGCAAGTTCCTTTCCACCAATTTGTATCACTCTGCAGAGAAAAGAGAAAATATTTTAGAAGGCATATGCTGCACCTCAGAAGTATTCAGTCTGTACAGGATGTCTTAGACTCACCATGTCCGAGATGTAAATGATATCTCCTTCTTCAAAGTACAGTTCATCTGGCTTTAAAAAAAAAAAAAAAAAAAAAAAAAGACTAAATAAAAATCTGAATCTGTGTACTTAGGTAAAACAAATACGTGGATAATGCAGAGTATATTCAGCTATTCTTTCAAAATAACAGTAACTCAAATTCTCTAACAACTAGACAACAGCTTGACAGTCTTTCATACTGTAAGCTTGACTTGCCTACAGCTAACTTTTTGGATCTGTGACCTGCCTGAGAACTAAAGAAAAAGACTGAGGCCTTTCCAACAGACTACTGCAACAAAAGCAGTGAAATATATCCTGTGTTTCTTAACTTCATTCTCTTTTTTGGTTGGTCCCAGTTCATTAAATATCTTAGTTCTCAATTATCTTTGCTGTCTTTGGAAGAAAAGAAAAACATCACTTGGATTGCTGATCTTAGACTGCAGATAACTGATTCTAGAGAAGAAAACATGCTGCTTTTAAAAAGAGCTGAACTTAAAAAAGGAGAGTAATGATTAATCAGGCAGTTTTAGTCACATTAAGAACCAATATCCATCAACAGGCTTTTTCATTGAAAACATAGTACAGTAAGACTAATAGGCTGACCCTAGCAGAACTGAAGAAATGTTATTATAGACAAGATTAAAATTAAGCTTCTCAAAAGCCTAAAACCTGGATGTACTTACCGTTCTGGGTTCAAATGTATACAGGGCCCTGAACACTTTAACCTGCCCTAAAAATAAATTAGAAAAAAAAGTATCAGTATCGTGCCTTCTAAACACAGAATATATATACAGACCTCACATTCAAATAAATTTATTTCCTTAACCGTTAAAGCTGCTTGTTGAATGAATATGTGCTATGCCTCTGCCAATGAAAATCATGATGAAAAGACTCAACCCAGCAGCACAGGTTCTGAAGGAAATGGGCAACTGATCAGCTAAATGTAAGCTGCCTCTTGTGCACACCTAACACGGTCTTCATAGCTCATCATGCAAGTCAACTAAAGTGTCAATTTCTGAGGCAAAATGTAGTTTCAGTCATATACACCCCCACACACTTATACATGTTGTACATATTTTTATTAATAAAACCAGATTTGTCAAATGGCACAGAATTAAGTAAAGAATAAAGAATCAAAACAGTGACCAATGTCTGCAACATATTCTCATACTTACTCATAGTCATTACTAATTAGGAAAATAATGCAGTAGCACAGAAATAATTGCATTTAAGAAAAATTACAAATGGTCACCAAGTTCTATTTATGGAATGTACAACTGACATGGTGTTCTGTTCAGATGCTTAAAATAAGATATAGTGTTTATAATTGCACTAAGTAGGCATTTATTTTAATATGGCAGTTTCGGAGAAATGGTCAAAAGCATTCAAGCCAAGAAAAGATAACCATAATGCAGAGAGGTACAAATTTAATTTCATAAACTGCAAAAAAAGCATTCCTATAAACATTTTTTTTTGAATGCCATAAGGTTACATTTCAAGAGCACCAACCTGAACATATAAAATGAGTACAGGAGAAGAAATTATATTTTACTAATTTTATTAGCTGAACTACTGAAGTCCACTGAACTCAATGGAGAACAGTATTATGCAGACTGTTCTGTATCGTTTGCTTATAAATATATGAAGTCTTAGGTATGTAGGTTTGTTTACTTTTAAATAGCTTAAGTATGTAGCTGTATTTCAGGTTCTTACGCTATACATGTTTATGTAGATTAACTTCTGATTGAAGAAGTATGTGGTCCATAAAGACAAGGTATTACTTAGACCACACATAGCCCAAGCTACTTTGTATCCTTAGAGAATCTGATGAACTTACTGCTGAATAGTACTGCACAATAAAGTGTGCATACACATAATCTTGTGTAGTATATTAGGTTTCCCTGTGTCTCAAGAATAAGCCTTTACCTTTCTGCAAAGAACCATTACTAGATTTTTTTTTGCCTAACCAAAATAGCGGTAATTTTAGAAAGTTTAAATTTAGAAAGTTAAGGACTTTAGAAATGTCAGTGTAAATGTATATATGCTAACAAGATTGAGAAAGGAGGATGGTATTCAGCAGTATAAGGTGTCATTTTGCAGCTTACCCCAGTCTTGGGGTGGCTCTTAAAAGATGTTTTCAAATAACTCTGGATATTCCCTAGCAAGAGCCGTGCCACAGCACATGTTTATGAAGTCGTACTTACCAAGGCATAACTACTAAGCAAAAAATTTCTGTAGTCTTCTGTCTCAGGCTTTTTTGGGGCTAAGTTTATGTAAAAGTATAAACATAAAATTAATCAGTGTAAACTTTCTAGATTGCCAAATGCATGCAGGCACTGTATTTTTCTCCCATTTTGTAACCATGTCACATGCTCCTCCTAGATCTTATCTTTTAATAACATCATAGAATTTCAATTTGGCTTTACTGCTTCTCTCTCACAGAGCAGCCATTTCCTAGACGTAAAAGGTCCAACACTTCTCAGACCTCTGCCTCAGAAACTAAATAACTGCACTGTGGCATCAGCTAAAAAGGATGAAACCTCCATTCTGTTCGTTACCGATACAGAAATGATGAACAAGAACAGTTGACAGTAATGTGTCCTAGATCTAAGAGCTTCAGAATGAAGTATCTGAACTGCATCTGTGAAGAAGTCAAACAAAAAGATTACAAAAAAAAAAAAAAAAAAAAGAACGTAATATGACAAAACAGGATGCGTGACACAGAGTACTGCCCCTTCTCCTTGGCTTTCTTACATAGATGACAGAAAAATGTGAGGCAGAACTTGCACGCTGGCGACTTTAACCATCACCCACCAATTTTCAAGGTTTTATGTAAGTAAAAGGAGGAAATGGACAACAAAAGGCAAGAATAAAAAATATTAAAAGGGGAAATGAGAAGCTGGTGGAAGACAGGGAAAAGCAAGAAATATAGATTTGTATGTGTGTCATATGTATTTCCTGTAATAATGTACTGCATCTGTGTCAACAGGTTTCTAAAGCTATCACACTCTAAGGGGAATAAAAGAATGGAAACACCAATGCTGATGAAAGTATTTCTGTGAAGTTGTTTAAATAAAAGGCAATTCATGATTGGTTTTTTTCTGTGTTTCATGTGTTTGGTTTTTTTGTTTTGTTTTGTTTTTTTAATTCTATGCAACTGAAACAGAGTTACTTCCCCAAATGTCAAGCTGTGGTGTCACACACAGCACACATTCTAAAACATCTTCCTGTGATGAAATACAAAGTATAGATTTGCATCTATAGAACGGCAGGTCTGGTTAATGTTAGTTTTACAGCACCTTATATGGGAGTTAAACACTACTCATTACTGGCACCAATCTTTTAAAAATATTTCTTGAACTGATATTCAGCCTGGTTATGTTGCTGCATTTAAAGAGCTAACAACAGGATCTTAGCACTTGGCATGGCAATTACTTGTGACAAATTTTAATGCAAAAAATCAGAAGATTTAAAATAACAAAATGTAAGGATGTAAAGGGCATGTTAAACTTGAATCCCTGTTCTGCAAATACTGACAAACTGTATTTTACTAGGCACAGGAATACCTGTCATCACTTGAAGTACTTTTATCTAGTAGTACCCATTCCTAGTCATGCAGTCAGACTTAGAGCTTGTATTGGTAGGTGCTTTGGAATAAGTGAAAAGTTAGAAAGTGCCTGAGGACCTTCTGTGCTTCCCCTTACTACCATCTCTCTACTATGAACCATGTTGTAAGATTCATGTAGGATAGAGAACTAATAATTAGCACTGATTTGAACTTATCAAAGTTGACTGACTGCACCTCCCCACCATATACTTCTAGAGAACAAAATAACTAGAATACAGAAGACGCATGTACCTTTTTAAGATACCAAGACACCAGGAACACATTGATGACTTTATTCTCAGCACAACTCATTTGAGAGTATCCCTTTTAAAAACAAAGGAAACTGAGGCACAGTACAGTGGTGTGTCTCACAATAAATCTTCTAAGTGCAGAGACAAATTGAAATGGTTATTCTTTTCAATCCATACTTTAGCCACAAGGCTGTCTTTTCCCTTCTCATGGAATTTGCAATAAACATCTGCAAAACAACTATCTGACAAATAAAAAAGATAACTTACTACACATGCTAAACAAATATAAGTATTCTTAGCATACAAACTCCTGAAACCACAATTTGAGAAACCTTTCCCCAGCAACACAACAGGGTAAAGGAGTCAAACCAATGATTCTAACCAGCAACATAAAAGAAATAGCTTATCATGTTGGGCTGGCCTCATGACTTTCAAACGATTGTGGATAACTTCTCCTATAAACTTCTGCTTTTATGAGGAAAGGAAACAAGCAAGTCAGGTTTCTAATGTGAACCTCTCCCAGCTAAGTGCATAAAAGCAAAGAAAACGAGCATTAAACAGTAACACCAGCTTAAAAATGCATCTTCTGATATGTAGTGAATTGAAACAAGATCACTGCTGAGCTTTGTAATACAAAGTAATGAAAAAAGACCATTTTCTCAAAAAAACAGAAGCTTTTTGTTTCCTCCAAGCAATTTCGAGGTTTATTTTTTAATTAATTTCAGTATCATTAACAGAAGAATGTTTCCAAAGAAGAGCTGTTTTTGCAACAAGGAGTTACTGTTTCTATCAGTGATGCTTTTTTTTTTTCCACTTCCTTTCTGCTCTTTTACCCCAGCTTCTCTACATGACGGACACTTTCACTGAAGTCCCCTTTTATTCAACTTGCCACCAAAGAATTCTCTGCTTTTCTATTTGCTTTTGCCCTTAGAAGATGAAAAAAGGAGAAAGGGGTGGAAATGGGGAAAAAAATGGTGGGGAAGAATTGGGGGGGGGGGGGGGGGAAGAAGAGAAAGGGAAGAAGGGGGAAAAGGGAGGGGGGGGAAGGGGAAGGGGGGAAAGGTAAGAATCAAAAAAAATAAAAAAGAGGAAAAAAAAAAAAAGTACACATCCCTGTATGGCAATACTTATTTAGATATCTGAGTTAGGCTGAACTTCCAGCACCAAAGGTGAGGGAAAGTAGCTTCATTACCTGTCAATCAGAATAATTAACTTACTTTATCTAAACACACTCACTGGGTGTCACAAAGCACTACTGGTGCCTATAATACAAAGAATGGCATAATCACTGTGCTCCAGAAAATCGGAATTGGCCATGGTCATCTATGGATAAATTAGAAAACTTCAAGTCTGTCAACCCCTGTAAGGGTTCAAGCTAATCCTTGGGCTGTTATCAGCTACCCTCCTCCTTGCTCCCATAAGGCTGAACAGAAGCAGTTGAGAATCAGGTGCTCTCTCTAGCACCAGTGTAATTGCAAACAACTAATTTGAGTCCCCACCTATGACAAATGGATGACAAAGATAAAATACACATAAGATGTTGGATGTTGGGAAGAAAATAGATGGTTTGCACATTCCAGGGCCTATGCTGGTTTTAGTGTCTCCTCCCAGAACATTTAACTGGCAATATAAATTCTGATACACATTCAGATAAATTTCTCTGAAGGAAGGCCTCTTTTGCTCAACCTCATAGAAAGTGTGGTGGCAAAAGGACAGTGTGTTTGTTTTCTCAACACTGGTCTATGAACCTGCAAAGAAATTATACAACCTGGCAGTGTAGACCAGAGATTTGAAGTCACAATCTTTTGGTCAAGTGACAATACCAAAGGTAAGTTGCAGATCAGAACAATTTGTGATATGCTTGCAGTTTGCTTTAGTAAGCAAAGAGATGTTCATGTTATGATATGTATGTCTCTCAAGAGATGTGCAATTTTATTAGAAGGACATTATGGCCAGACTGAAACATCTTTTTCTGGCATATCAGAAACTGGAAAATAAGGTGGTTTACACCCGTACCTCCATGCCAGAATAAAAGTAGTGAAAATATGTTTTACTGTAGTGCAGTTTGTATTTTGGCATTTTGCTCACAGGATCTTGCACAGAGAGCAAACAGAGTACAAAGCAGGATTTAACAACCTCCAAAACTGAGACAGAGAAAAGTGGAGTCCCCTCTGTTTAGGGAACCGTCTTTTACTTCTAAGTAGTGTTTGTTAGAAAGGGGAAGCGAACACAGGGCAAACAAATCAGAGGGGAGGAAGAGGAAAGGGTGCATTAAACAAATTAAAAAGCCTAGAAAATCTAGGACATGTTGAAAAGGATGTAAAGGGTAGACTGGTGCCGTGTAGATGACAAACTGGGGTAGCTCAGGAACAATCATGGACTGCACCAGTCAGTATCTGGAGTGGAAGGAACAAATAGCATTTGTTTACAGAAAATCAGTACTAAGAATATTCTCACAGAAGATATATGTGAATACAATTTTACAAATTAGTTTTGACTGGTACAATTTGATGTTGAAATCCTCTACTGCTTAGCAATTTTATTTCTGCAAATACGCAGAATACCTTCATTTGTAGGAAGCTTGTTTGTGGCCCCAACAGCCTGCAATAAGAAGATTTGCGGTCAGAAATGAAAGTTTAAAATTCATGTTGAAATCAGACTTGGAACAGCATAATTGTTACTCTGATGTTTTTCTCCCCTTAAGAGCTGATGACTGCAGCATAACTCCCCACATCCACATGCTCACATCTCCCTAGCTAACTGAAACCTTTATTTGACTACAGAAGGAACCCAAACCACCACCACCTAAGTCAAGCCTACTGCTAAGACCTCAGGCATCTGACTCCATGCAGGTCTTCCGCTGCTGTGAATTCTAACCACTGAAGCTCCTATTTACCTGAGAATTAAGGTGAAGTGAATTTGATTGTGATTCAAACTAAATATTTATGTTCAGAATCCTATTTTTAACTGTGACATCTAGCAGTAGCTGCAAAGTCAATGGACCTGCTTTAAGGAAGTAGCCCTTTTAGGTTACATATGTTATGTTTCCTCCTATCTCCTTTCCTCTCAATTGGAGTAATTTAAAACTGTAATTTCCTTGGGACAAAGGACCAACAAATCTTAACCTATCAGGAGAATATGCAAGTAAGTAAGGTTTCTTTAAAATATCAATAAACCACTTTCATCTCCACAAAAGCTGTTGCTGCATACTACGTAAGGCTCTAATCAAAAATACATAATCAGACAGAGAACACTGTTCAGGGAGACAACTAGCAGAAGCCAGTATAGCTTGTCAAGTTCAAAGGACTTAAGTAACTTCTGTATATGGGATTAACATCTGACACAGAATGTTTAAGACGTTTATGGACTCTGGAAAGAATAATGGAGTTTGAGACATCAACAGAAGTTTTGAAAGATGGAGGGAAAACGCTACCCTTGCATAACGTTCACAAAGAAAAGCCTCTGCTATTTTCAACTCCTACTCCTTTGTATCTTCAACAGCAAGCCCAAATAGAAAATACAACTAGAAAACAATAATACAGAGCCCCAAGAGAAAAGCAAAGCTAGGAACTTGTTTTAAAAAAACCCAAACTCTCAGAACACTAGAAATAAAAATCCTTCTGAAGTCTCTAAAAATAATCATGGCCCCTTTCTCAAGGCCTAACCACAGACCCCAGAATACTAGTTCACATTCTGACAAACATATCAGATTGTCTAAAGTATACTGATGTCAAAGCCATCTCTCTGTAATTGAAATCCTAATGTATTGTGTATGCCACAGGATTAATAGAGGAGCCTTTTGTCAGATAAAATGCCCCCATGTACTGAAAAAACCCACACAATGCCATAGCTAGTTAGTTTTTCTCTCTTTGCATCTCCTCTTTTCCCCACACTTTTAAAGCACTGTCTAGACATCCAACTCTAATGTCCAATACCCCTGTGATGAACAGTGAACACTCACTGTTTTAGAAAGGATGAATATTTATTTCACTAAATATTTTCACTTCCCTGCCACCTGCTGTACCTCCTTCCATCTTTATCTAGCCTGCACTTTTTTTTTTTTTCCTGAACACAAATAAAAGGACTACAGCAACCAATATCTTGTTTTCTGTCTTGAACTGTAACAATTCAACAGCAATGTAAGCAGGTTTGCTGTTCCCTGACACAGGTTATAGCCCAGTTTATAGACTGGATACCTGATAATAGTGAAGAAAAATTAACACAGATTGACCAAATGCACTAAGACATTCCACCAACGGCAGTCTAAAAGCCTCCAAGAGACGGCATTATGCTGCTGTAGCAACTATTTCACCACATGCAGTTCCTGTATTTCTCTGTCTTTAACTAGCGTATTTTAACACCTATAACCTTGAGAGACTAAATGACAGTACCATAGGCATAACTGATATTATAGACAGAACAAAGCCAGACATACAACTACAGAAATATTTTGGAGTATGCTAGATGACAGTTTGTTCTTGAAAATGCCTTGGAAAAATTTAATGCAACAGCCTCAATAAGACTTTCTCCAAAAATCAGGGATTTGGCAAAAGTAATCTTACTAGCCTTAATCAGCTCTGAAAGACACTACCAAGACAGTCTTATGCTCTTCCTCTTCCTTTTTCAGCCATTTATTTCTACCTATTTCCTTTTGCTGTGTCAAGCACTCATGCGGTAAACCAGCTCAGCAAGTTCATTAGACATAAAAATAACTTAACATAAAAAGTCAGAGCACCAATCCAGCTTGTCACGTCACTAAATGGAATGGAAAGGGGGTGGAGGGGTGTGGTGTGGAGGGGGTAGCGAATCTGTCCTTTTAATGGTGATTTTTTATGTGATCAAGCAATACCAGAAAACTGCACTCCAGCAAACTAGTGAGAAACACCTAGTATTAGATATAACATGTCTGAGTCAGTCTGATAGCTCCTGCAACTTACGTAGGGCGAGAGCCTTTAACTCCTTAAGAATTAGGTTAAATTCAACTCATCTGTTTCCAAATCAGAAAACTGAGTTATCAACTTAATAGGAAAAATCTACTCATCTTACATATTTGGCTGTTAACAGCAACACCCTTTAAGAAGCCCACAGATTTCCTCAGTATGGTTTTTCAGTGAGGGTCCACAACAACAGTGCTTCTATTACTCTCTTTTTTATTTCAAGTAATCTGTTTTCAGAGTCAGCAAACAGTAGGACAGAGGAAATTCTTCCAGGGATGAAACTCTACATTCAGAGACCTTTAACAGATTTTGCTTCTGTGGGTAGGTCGAGACTGATGGTTTAAGTGGTCTGAACTGGACGTACACTTACTTGATTTCAAATTAAAAACCTGTTTTATAAGCTGTCTAGTTAAAATACTTATTTATGTTACATATTTAGTTATTTATTAAAAGCATCTGTATTTCAAATACTGTTCGAAATGCAAAAAATATTGAAATTCAGACAGATTTGGGGATCAGATAATCATATTTTGGGAGACACCAACTAGTCTTATCTATTTAATTGCATTCACAACGAATTTTTAAGTAATAATGTAAACTTTCATACTGGGAGATGATATGCAAACATGACAAACAGCAACTGCATTTTCCAGATCAATTCTTTATTTAAAAGAACACAACCCTAAACCTAATGGTTTAAATTTTTACAGAAGAACATATGTTTACCTGGAAGATGCCATTTCTATTCCAAGGTTTAAAACTCTAACTTCCAATGTTTTTTCAATATATTTTTAGAAAAAACTGTGATTTAAAAAAATTTTTTTGACTTTGCACTAGATTTATCTGATAAGGGTGCAGGAGCAAAATTTTACGTGTTGATGACTACATGCACGAGAAAGGGCAACGCTCACGTTTGCACCGGAACGTCAAAGGACACGCTGGGAGTTTGGCTGCTGGGGAGTCCTACAGGGGAAAGCAGCAGATGCTGCGGAAGTTGTGTGGGACTGTGCTGTAAAACCGCTTTCCTGCAGCAATATTTTGCTAACCCATGCAAGCACAGGGCAAACCCCGGAGCATTTCCGCGCCAGTTTCTTAACAGGTTAAAAGGGTTTCGGCCCTAACAAGTTTCCCCTCCACCGCAGCCGCCGGCCGGGCGCGCCGGGGCCGCGCCCCGCAGGAGGGGGAAGGCCGGGAGGATCGCGGGGCCCTGCGCAAGCTCCCACCCGCGACACGGGGCGGGGGCTCTGCCCCGCGGCCACCCCCGAACCTTCTCCCGAGCCGCAGCCGGCGCAGGATCCCGCCCAGGCACGACGCCGGCGTGCCGAGCGCGGCTCCGCCACCCCCTCCCAGCGCGGCCGCCGCAGCCAGGGCCGCGGAAAGAACCGCCTCCCCCGCCAGCACCGAGCAGCGGTGCGGCGGCTAATGGCGGCGGGGAGGGGAAAGGAAGGGGTAGGCGGCCCAGCCCCTCTTCCCCCTCTCCCAACCCCCCCGCTTCGGCCGGGCTCGCCGCTCTGACAGCCGAGACCCGGCTCCCAAACCGTCCACGTGTCAGCAGGCAGCGGGCCGCTCCGCGCCCCGCACCGACTTCGCGCGGCCGGCGAGGCGGCCAAGGGACGGCGGGCCGGGACGGCGGGCCCCTCCCTTACCTGGCTTGGCCGGTTTAGGTGGCGGCTTGGACATGGCTGGGGCCGTCCCGAGTGCGGGCGGGGAAGCGGCGGGGCGGCGATCAGGCCCCGCGGTGCTGGGCGGAGCGGGCGGCCAGCACAAGCCCTCGCCGGGCTCCCGGGACAGTGCGCGGCGGCCGGAGGAGGAGGAGGAAGGAAGGGCGAGCGGGCGGGCGGGACGCTTTGCCAGCCCCCGGCGGGACCCAGCCCGGCCCCGCGCGCGGCGCGGCTCCGCCCTTCCGCCCCGCCCCCCGGGTGCCGCCGCGGGCGGCGCGAGCGGAGCGGAAACGGCCTGAGGGGGCGCGCGCCCCGCGGGCGGTTAGTTGGCGGCGAGGCCTGAGGGGAGCGGGCTGCTGTCGGCGGGGCGGCGGGCCGGGTCCCCCACCTCACCTCACCTCACCTCACCTCACGTCACCCGGGGTGTGTGGCAGTAGCTTCGGACCCGCGGGGGCCGGCCCGGCCCGGCGGTCAGCGCGCCTTGGACTGTTCCGCGACTTGGCGTAAGAGGTGGCGGGGGCTCTGCCTCCGTGGAAGCCCTTCGGCTGGGACGGTTTCTTCTGAGTGCCCTCCTGGTGTCTTCAAGCAGGGGTTAAAGTTAACTGCAAACCCCCAAGGCGCTGAAGCGTTGGGAGCTGCTGAGAGAGGTGCGGGGCTCTGTGGCGATCGGCGTGCGCTCCCCTTGGCCTCGGCGCCCACCCACATGAGGGGGTTCGGTGCCCAGGAGGGAAGTTTCCCACCCGCGTCTGGCGGTGTCTAGAAGGAAGCATGCTTCGGCTGCTAACCGTGTGCTGCAGCTCTGTCACGCTATGCCGTTAAAGACAGGGTGACTGTAATTCTGTGTTAAGGTTGTCGTGGGTTTACATTCTGTTTGGAGATGCTAAGCCAAGCCCAGGTAGAGTAGTTTAGGATTTCTCAGTTGCGACATTGGTGATAAATTTGCCTTTGCAATTTGTGTTACACGTTACTCGGGGGGGGGAAGAAGAGTTGGTGTTTTTTTTCATCCTGGTGTCTTTTGCCTTAAACTGGGATTAATTTTCATGTAGACGATGACGTAAATTAAAGTCCAAAGCTCAGCATGTGTGTCCAGATGTTATTTAGCTTGTTACATAGCATTTTTTGTGGGACAAAGGCTAATCCTCTGAAACACAAGCCTCACTGATGATTTTCAGAAAAGACCTTTTTCTTTTTAAAATGGACTGAGTATTATCGCTTCCTGAGAACAGATCATCTGTTTGCACTCTTTGAATAGATAGCCAATACCATAAACATGCAGTGCATCACTGAACTTGAGAATTACAATATGCTTAGAAAACTCTCACATGCTACCTTACAAAACTTGTCAGTGTGAACTACTGTATGGACGCAGCACCACTGCAGAGCAGTGGCTATCATACTGGTGATGACTTGGACTAGTCAGTGTGTTGTGGGTTTTTTTAACAGAAAAAAAAAAAAAATATAAAGCAACTGTGCAAGGATCACATCATATCACAGACCTGTGAACAGTTGAACTTCCAGTCATTGCATGAAATGCTATTATTTCAGACTCTGTGTATGCCTAAAACTTACTTTCGCAGTAATAGTGTGATTTTACTTTCATACTGATGCTCTGTAACAGTCTTTTTTTCTACTAGATTACAGATACTTGTTTGTCAGGGAGAGGAGAATGTTACCTGCTCAGTTCTTTCAGGTCTTAGGTGTCATAAGCCTTACCTCCTTAAGTGTGACCTAGGAGGACAGAGCAGGTGAAAACCAGGGTGTTTGCATGTGGTTAAATAGTTATTAATTGGATTGTGCTCATAGAAAGCAATGTTTGACAAACTCTGTAGACTAGTGCTGCTGCCAAGAGAAGCAGCCCAATTACTATCCGTCCTTCTGCTACACCACACCTTTGCAGGCATAGGTAACTGGATGGTAAACTGAAGGGAATTTGTTCAGTCAAAAACTAACAATCTTCCCCTCCCTCTTCTTTTGCAGAACTGTTTTTTAGCTGGAGTATTTTTCCAGTATAGTTCACTATGGACTCTGTAGGCACCTGTTCCAGAAGAACATTCTGAGAAAACAGTCAGGGAAAGCCAGGATTGTGTTTTCTGGAAGTGTTCAGCCAGCCAGAGCCTCAGGGTTGGTTTCTTAGCAGCAACAGGGATATGGGTGGATAAATGTAACCTTTTTCAGTGCCACAGTCTTCGATCTTTTCTGGAGAAGATCAAGTGCTACCTAATCCTTCTCGGTGCTAAATCAGCTACGATGGCTTAAACTGCCTTTACAGTAGTTTAAATGACCCCAGATTATCTTTGGTGGAGCAGTGGAGAAGCTCTTGTATGGTCTGTGCTGTTAACTCCCACAACAAGCTAGTGGTGAATTCTTACACTGCTGAGACCAGATTCTTAAATGAGTATTTGAACATACTTCTTGTTATAACTCTTAACAAAGTTTTTAAAACATCTTTCTCCTCAGTATGTCACCTGTTTCTTTGTTAAGGTTTTCGTTTGTTTTGCTACCACAGCTTCTGTCTACCTAGTCTTTTTTTTATACTGGTAATCCTTGAGCTAATGACTTTTTTTTAGGGACTGCTGTGATATTGGTATTGGTAGAACTGAGTCTCTTAGAATTCCCCCCAAATGATTAAAATACTGTCTAAGGTAAAATGCATTGAAATCTGTGATGTGGCATATATGTTACAGGTTTTTTGTTAGCATTAGAACAAGCAATTGAGGTTCTGACAGTAGCTTTGCAAAAGAAAAAGAAAAAAAAAAGGGGGGGGGGCAGAAAATAAGTCTTATCTATAATTGGTATTTCTTAATACAAGAGCTGCTTTCCTTGTTGCTGAATTAAGAGTTTTCACAGGCTACTATTTTTGACAGTGAAAAGGAAGAACTGAGGAGAAAACAAACTATGAAAGTATTGGTTATTGGCCTTGGAGGGTAAGTATTAGCAAATTCAATTTCCTCTATAGCTCAAGACTGGCCTTCCTTTCAAAATGAAGTGATGTCACTTCTATTTCTGAATGGATATTTTTTTGAAAATAGATTACAAATATAACATAATTGTCTCATTTTGTGGCATATAACTCCTAAGAAATTGTTCTGTCTCGGTTGGAGATCTTGGGTACCACCTCTCTCTAACCTCTTTCTTGGCACTGTTAGATTTACTGTCTGAATGCTCTTGGAACCTGCGAGAAATTTTCTAGAGGTAGAGAGTATTTAATGTTAATAAACTTTTGGGGGGTTTTGGATTGTGTTAACTATATAGAAATGTGTGCGTGAGCTTGTGCAGATTTTTAAAAGATTGATTTTTGTCTTCATGAAAATTTTACTATGTTTTCTAACTCAGTGTAACAAATGGGGGGAAAACAACGCTGGCAGAAAAGCTTAAGAAAATGCTTCCCAACTGTGATATAATCTCTCAAGATGACTTCTTTAAGGTAACAGTATTGATGGAAAGACCTGATAGGTAGAAGTAGGCTCAAGTTGATTTTTAGTATCATTTCTTCTCTTCTACTGATAAACTTTTAAAACTGATGCAGCTGATGTTAACTTCATGAAAAAGAAATGAAATGAGCACTGTGGTAATTGAATTTTCAGTGGCTAAAACCACTGAGTATACTCAGTAGAAAGAAGTTTAGTGCCTTCTCTGATACCCTTTTAAAATAAGGAACAGTTGTATGTTGCATGCATTTTTCAAGATACTTTGTGCTAACGAAGTTAATAATATTGTCTTAACCCTACACCCGCACAGCAATCGGTAGTTCCTTTTCTCCCAAATCAAAATAGAAAAACTTTTGTATTGACACAAAGGTTGTTTGTTAAGGAGTGTGAGGAGCTCTTATTTCTGAAGTAAGGCTCTAATGAATTTAAGAGGTATGATTTGGAGAGTTTATTGTTATAGATTAAGTGAGGTGTTTGTATTTTATTTTAATAGTTGTATACAGCAGTTTAATTTTTAAGGTAGATTTAATCAATTGGGATACAGAAGTGTATAATTCTTATGTTTGTAACTGCAGAGTATATATATCTGTGACAGTGGTCATAAAAGCAGCCTTGAAAACATTAATTTTTTTTTTCCCCTTCAGCCAGAGTCTGAAGTAGAAACAGATGAACGTGGATTTAAGCTGTACGATGGTCAGTAACTTTGATGCATTGATCTTGAACATTGTACCGAAATTTGGTTGTGCTGAGTTTCAACACTTCTTCGCCTCCATCTCCTGCCCTTCTTCCCTTCTCAGGAAAGCAGTAAACAAATGATTGTTTCAGAGCAATCCTTTGCTCATTTTCTTTCAGCTCACTGAGATAAATAAGAAAATTTGCTGAACTAGTATATAGCACAAACTAGCGCTTGACCTTTCCTCTTTTTAATAATTTCCTATATTTCTACAATTGTGTCTGGTTCAGTAGCAAATGGTAATGTTCAGTTGAAAGTCTTGGCTTGTAGCACTGGCATAAGCTTAACCTCATCCTTTCTATGTAATGATAGATTTTTTTTTTTCCACTTTGATAATGAACTCACAGGATATCACCACTGCGTCTCTTTCATTGTCATATTCCACATCAGTAAAAACTTGAGTCTGACACCTTTATTTCATGTCAGATGTCATAGAGAGACCAAATGTTTCGAAATTCATGGTTAATCCTGGCTCAATGTGCCAATTTAGTCTTATAAACTTCTAGATCCAGGTCCACTTTAGGTCAGTGCTTTGGTTCAGGTCATATCTAGTTGTGAACAGTTGCTTATTAGCTAATCTCTGTTCATACTTGGTGATTGCAAAGTGTATTACTTGGAACATTGGCCAAAACCTTAAATTGTATTTGAAAACTGACTTACCAGCTATGCAGTCTTTGGCTCAACTCCTAGACTTATTGAAACTGGAATGTGAAACTGGAGGGGTAAGTCTGACATTCTGGTTCAAATATCTGTGTTTAATGCTGCCTCTAAATCCTCTAAAATGTGTTTGCTCTTAAGTTATCCAAAGGCTGTCTTCTCTCTACCATTCAATACTTCCTCAATATGTTATTATATGTCTACAGACAAAACCAGGTGCTACATTGTGCTGCTCTGCTTTGTATGCCATCCTCCTTTCAATCTATCCATCCCCACCCTCTAAAAAACTGAACTCAATAAAAAACAAAACCAAAAACTTTTGAGTGCCTGCTTCTTCATGAGTGTCAGTGACAATTGGCAGGAGGGTGTGTGTTTCAGGGTAAATAAGTTTTTACAAGTTTTATGGAATAGAAACAGCAGGGACTGTTATAGTCAAGGGAAAGACTCTGAATTAAATTGCACACTTTTTGGTGCCAGAGAGTACAGAGAGACCACACCCACCAGAAATACCCCAATCCTGGGAAAAGTTTTACTTTCAGGGTATTATCAGTTGCAAACATGGAACTAGTTTTATGCATGAGAGTTTTGGGGGTAATCCTGTTCCCTTTCATTTAGACTTGTATGTAGATAATTTGATTCTTGCTGATTAACCTAGGGGTACTTAAGGGTTTGTTTGTGTATTTGTTTTATTCTCTGTCATTGATGGATGCCTAACTTTCTGGTTTCATCTAGTACTTGATGCCCTCTATATGGATGAAATGGTGAAAAGTATTCGCAATTGGATGAAAAGCCCAGCAAGCTCAGGTGTTGTGACAGAAGAGCTGCAGAATACATGTGACAATCTGAAAAATACAGACATTTATATTTTGATTGTTGAAGGCTTTCTGCTATTCAATTATGAGTAAGCACTAATATGTAACCTGGTATATTAAAAGCTGCCCTAAATAGGAAGACAGAACTAAATATGTTATTATCTTAGGCCGCTTAATGAACTATGGAATAGAAGATATTTTTTGACCCTTCCTTATGAAGAGTGCAAAAGGAGAAGGAGGTAGGAGTATTCATTTATTGCTCACTGAGGGTCACTGTAACCCCTAACCTGAAGTGGTTCTTTTGTACTAGCTTTTCTTTGGTATTTGTCAAGTGTCAGCTATTAAGATCATCTGCCCACTGTGATTCCCAGGGAAGACTGTGGGTATTTAACCAAAACTAACAAAAGCATGCAGAGATTGTGGTGGTGGTGGGGTTTGTTTTGGTTTTGTTTGGGTGTTTTTGTTTTGTTTTGCCTTTTTTTTTTTTTTTTTTCATTTTAGAGCACAGGGATATTTAAGTGTTAAAAGTTTTACAACCACTGAAAAGAGAATTTGTTGTCCAGGTAAATTATTTAGATTACTGACTCCATATTGGAGTTAAACCATGTTTAAAATGAGAAACAATTGAAAAAAAATAATAAGCAGTCTTATCTTTGGTTGAATCCAGATACATGATTATTGTTAAAGTAAGTGTTCATGTATGGGCTTAATGTACACTTTGCTTAGACTGTGCATTAGTTGTACCATATATCTGGTTTAGATTATTGAGCTACTGTCTGACTTGCTTCCAAATTTGGAGCAGTACATGTGTGTGAAATCAGAATCTGCTGGCTGAAAGAAGTAGTCCTCTATTCAGCTGGCTTTGGTTGATTCCACTCTTGGTTTCTCACTAGACTCACCTTTAAAGGACTTTAGTGTCCAGGCTGGAAGTGACTGGACAAAACTGCTAGTTATTTAAAACCTGAGAAATCTGTGTACTCAATAAAAAAAGAGAAAGTAATTTGTTTTGATACCACTTTCAATATAGGTTAATTTATGTGTAATATCTTTTTCAATTAAAAAAAAAAACAAAACAAACAAACAACAAAAAAAAAAAAAAACAAAAAAAAAAAAAAAAACAAAAAACAGAACCAAAAAACAACAAACTTTTACCTTATCTTAAATGTAGTTTGATTGGTAGAAATAGGTAAGTTAGCAACAGTTCATATCACAGATTATATTAAAACAAAGGAGCCTCCTTTGCTCCAAGTTATGCAGCCTGCCAGCCTTTCTTTTTGTTTTTTGGGTAAATGTTGTTATTAAACCAGCTGACGCTAGGGGAGAATGTAAAACTTGTATGGGAAAGCAAATATATTTTTGTGTAGCACCAGAATCTATCAGCCAGCAGATACACCGGGGTACTTCGATGGACACGTGTGGCCTATGTATCTGAAATATAAAAATGAATTGGAAGAGAATGCAAGTAATGTTGGTATGGTATCCTTAATTTTAAACTTATAAAATGCTTAAGTGGGGCAGTTGTCTAGTTTTTGTTGGTTTTTTTTTTTTTTTTTTGCATGGGAAAAAGTTTTATTCAAACATTTTAGTGGACAGTAGGTTTGGACCTTTTGTTGGTTTATTTTTCAAGTCTATAGGGTTTTTATTAATAATGAAAATTCTGAAGTTACAGAAATGTTCTGATCACTAATTAAGTCCACTTAACAATGTAGTTCATGTGTGCACATGTGCCAACATGCATATGGCTAAATGGGAAGTTCTTGAGACAACAGCTGATGCACTGGCAGAATTCTCCAGAACAGAATTTAAATCCTGGTTGAAGTTCTGTAATAAGCTGAAGGTACTTCCTAGGTGCTTACTGTACACGCTGCAGCCATCAGTCTTGCATGAGAAGCGTCAGAGCTAGTCCAGCTGATGGGGTGCTGCCATGAGCTTGTGTGATGTTCACATTTGTACAGCTCTTGCCCTACTTACTTTTGTGGGGAGGGCCAGAAGAAAGAAAAGTCAGATGGCTGCTTCACCAGCATACCACTTCTTACTGTGAAGTAAGAATGGGAACTGCAGTGCCCTTCCTTGACTTGCCCAAACCCTGAAGCTTGAGGAAGAACCTGAGGTCTTCCACTGCATAGGAACCTTTCTACTGAATTATTTCATTGCTCTACTGTCCTAATGTTAATACCACTACCATTATGCAGCCTTTTATACCACAAAAATTGCAAATTCTTAACTAGAATACTTTTCCATTCTTTTTTTTTTTTTTTTTAAAAACATGTAAAATGAATTTGGGAAATTAAAAAAAGGAGGTACTGTTCTTGGTTTTATTTTTTCCATCTCTCCTGATGGAACCCATAGGAATACTGAAAACTGTGCCAATTGCTATTACAGATAACTGGTGTAGAACTCATGAAAACTTTTTCTTTTGTCTGTCTTAGTTTATTTGGATGGAACAAAATCCCAAGAGGAGCTTTTATCCTTTGTGTATAGTGATATAATTTGGGAATTAAAAAAGCTGAGGGAAGGAAGTAAGTAATGTTACTGGAAATTGAATCTGCTTATCCCATTTTGAGTTAACAAGAATCTAATCCTTATATATGAAAATACTGCAAAGATTATATAGATTTGTATCTCCTTATGTATTATGGTCCTTATACATATTTGCCCATTACTCTAAGTCATCACAAGCTACTAAGTTACTTGAAATTGGATATTATGAATTGATAGGTGAATCCACTGTTATTTAATGATAAAATAATAATTTTTAAAAGGGGCAATAGAAGAAATATGGGGCAAAACATTAAGGAAATCAGATGTTTTGGTGGTATTAGTTTCTAATATACAGTGATGCCATGTGCAAACAAACAACAGTACAGGTTAATGCATACTTTTTGTTTTAGATCAGCAGGTCACCATGTGATAACGTAGAAAGCCTGGGTTCCATTTGATCCGACTTGAAAACCTCAAGACTGTCATACTTGGCAAGCCAGCCAACTGAGCAGATGTTATGTATGTGTCCATAATACTAGTTCATATGACACAAGTGGATTTGTAGCAACTGTTAACTCTGTGACTCTCAAGACATTGTTGAGTAGTATCAACAGTGCATTATTATTCAGAATTCCTTTAATCAGTTATGCTTTGGCTGATCTTCAAAACTGATTGAATGTGTACATTTCAAAGAATATAAACATAATTTTCTATATAAAACTAAACCATGAAGATGCAGGTCTGTTGGATTAATTAGCATATTTGAACATAGGTGAATGCCATTTGAATGTTCCTGTAGGAATGACAGCCATTACCTCTAATATTTTTACAAGCTTCTCATTGCTGATAAACACGGTTAGTGGAACCAGCTGTATGCCATAGCAACAGTAAGTTTAAGATTGTATAAGCTGTAACACTGCTTATTCAGTAACTGAACGTTATTGAATACATCTTAACTGAATTTAGGCTCACTAAATACCTCTGTGGTGTTTGTCAAGTAATTTTTATGTTGTGTTTTATGTTGGAGCAGTTGGAAATGGATATTTAAAAAAAAAAAAAAAACAAACCAACCTGAAAAGAATCAGGTTGTTGGAAGAGATGATGGAATAAGATGTTGGAGAGAATGCAGATGTGTTGCTAACCAGATTAAGTACACATATTGTTCAGACATTGAGGATTAGGATGGCACAGACTACTAGACAATAAATGCACGCTTCAGGGAGGAGGAAGGAAGAAGTAATTCTTATTAATATTTATAGCTTAGGTTGCAATTATAATAATGAAATTGTTCAGAAAGCAAGTATGCTAAACATGAGAAAGCTTTGTTTTAAGATTTGCATACCTATATTTAAATAAACTGGGAAGCTGAATAATGTTTGGTTGTGGAATTAGTAATGTATTAACTCTTAAATTTTTCTATATGTGATAAATAATAGAATAATTTTGCTTTCGCTAAAAGTAATTAAACAATTACTTTTATTGAGTCAGGCTAAAGCTATTATTAGTACAACGATCCAAATTTTAAGAAAAGTAAAATAATTTACTAGTGGAAAAAGAGAAGGGGGGGAATTGATCAGAGGAAACAACAACCCAGCAGCCCCCCCCTTTTCTTTGGGATGCTCACCAGATGGTCCATATCAAAGGATGGTAACTCCTTTGCAATGGAACGAGAAAGAAGAGGATGGGCCCTCCCTGGTATCCCTTGTCCTTGAGATAAGAGAGGAACTGAAACCACTGAGCCATAAAGACAAAGGAGCTGCAAATTGGCCCAGACTTGAAGGACAAAGTGTACGTGACCACAAGACTGAGTTTGCGCAGAAGTAAGGGTCAACGAGTGAACACAGTGAAGAAGACTACGAGCCTTCATCTGCAGACCCCCGCCCACGACCACCAGGGAGCACTGCGCAAGCGCGACAGGAGGAATTTGGGGTGGGGGGGATATGTTAAGGATTTCTCATAACTAATTGTAATATTCCCTCCCTATCCTTAGAAGTAGTGATGCATATGTATTAGAGTAGATGAACATGTAACCATTTATACAATAAAAGGCAGCCCCTTTTGGCTCCAGGGCACGCCATTGCGCCCAGCGCTGTATTCTTTGCTCCACTGACTTTGTCCCCAATAAAACTTTTTTTTATATATACGTGGGCTTGTTTCTCACATATACAATATCTTACATTTTTATCAGACAGACTGAAAATCAAACTACAGATGTGAAAACCAAAGGATGGACTATATTACTTACTGCCTGTCAGCTGAACTCATCTAAGTGATTGAAATGTCTTATTGTTAAGAGTATTAGGAGTCCTAAACCTGTATGTTAGAAAAATGTTTTAAACAGATTAGAGCTCTGTAAAGCTGTGTTTAAGACAGTGCTTCCAAACACTCTTGTGTTGTTATTTTGCGGTAAAAATATTACAAACTGCATTTGCTGAAATGCAGTGATGGACTGTCTGACTTTAAACTGTATTTTTGTTTTTATTTCCCTTTGTTAGGGGTGCAACTATGAGAGATCAGCTAATACTTGGATGGCTGTGGTGGGTTGACCTTGGCTAGCCACCAGATGCCCACTAAGCCACTCTATCACTTCCCTTCCTCAGTGGAACAGGGGGAAAAGAAATATGACGAAAGGCTCATGGGTCAAGATTAAGGTGGGAATATCACTCAGCAATTGCTGTCACAGGCAAAACAGACTTCACCTGAGGAAATTAATTTATTTCCAATCAAATCAGAGTAGGATTAGTAAGAAAAAAGAACA